TTGCTTTTTAGCTTTTTTATCGTTATCGTTGAAGTATAAACAGGCCTTTAGAGAGTAAGTTAAAAATACCTCTTTCTCCGTTATTTCCCTTTGTGTCCTCAATGGAGTCGAGTAAATCGATAACCTTCTCCCCTCGTCGCATACACATGTCCCTTTGGAAACAAATTTCAAAAATATCAGGATGATAACAAACTAAAAATAGATAATTAATAATTAATTCCTGAAAAATCTCAGTTTAAAAATCCTCCTTCCTTACATTTTTTGCATAAAGAAAAATCAATTTTTGTTTACAAATGCTTATTCAAATACTGTAACAACAAAGTGAAAATTGATGCTTACTGAGGGTTTATATCGAAGCGAACATCCCTGTCTTCCCATAGGACATCAAACACTTGAGGCTGTTGCTGCTGCTGTGTTGTCATGACTTCAAGGTGAATTCTTTTCCAGTGATCCTACGTCTTTGAATTTTTCATCAAATTTGAATTAGCATTTATTCAGTTATTATTATTTCTTTGAAAATTATACTATTAAAATGTGGCACATGACAGCTTAACCTTTATAATATTAGGAGCAAGCAAGGCAACCCAGTTAGCAGAAGTCCCCATAGCATAGTCAATAGTATATTATTAATCTAACAAGGCTGGCTACGCCTCCTTCTAGGCCTAGATATAAGCGTTTCTCTTCGCCTGAAGAGGATAAGCCTGCCCCAATCAAAGTGATAAATTGGTTGAGGTGATAGTAACTAACCCGCATGCATAAACATAGCGTAGGCCTAGCTAGGCCCTTGCCTATTCTCATTACATTTCATTATTATTACATAGTGAGTATGATTTTTCCTGCAACCTACCTATTATAATATACGTAACACGTAAGCTTAAGACGTGAAATTAAGACATTAAATGTGAAAAAGCCTTCATAATCACGAAAATGATGTTTTGTGTTTGATGGAATTTCTATCCGAACTAACGAGGGCGCTTGTCTATCAGATAACCGTCGCTAAGAGAGATGATGCTCTTTTCTGCTAGGCCTAGGGGCCTACCCTAAAATCATCCTGAAATATGATTTTATTTTTCAATTTAACATAAAATTACACTAGCAAAAGTGGCCATATGTAGGTGTTTAGAGCTTTTAAGTCAATGATAGGTGTCTTAAAGTTTGTATAAAAATGTTTAAGTCGTAATAGGAGGCTATGCCTAGGCGTAGGCCATAGGCTAGATAGGCTATGAGGCCGAGGCCTAGACCGAGCCAAGACGGGTAGGGCTAGCCTCCTCCTAGCTAGCCTAGGCTAGGCCTAGCCAGCCTAGCCTAGTACTGTAGGACAAGGCCCCATACTACTAGTACTAGCCTAGTAACTAGGCCCTATGCCTTTTTAGGCCTCTACTTTACTCTCTAGCCCCTAGGCATAGGCCCTCTAGGCCTAGCTAGGCCTCCTTTTTTAGCTAGAGTAGGCCTAATATTAATAAAGGTCGGGTAATTTATTTGTTAATGGAATTAAGGATCTTTTTAATTAATGCAATAGAATAGGCCTAGCCTAGTCTACCTAGTAGGCCTACTTTTAAATGATTATGATTTTTTTTTTAACCATTAATTAGGCCTAGACCCTAGGTCTATATTGTCACAAACTTGTGTAAATCAATCTCTTGATTGAACGAGTGCCATACTTTAAAGTTTTTTTAATTGTGCAGAGAATATCTAAAAAATCAGCTCAAATTTGTGCGAAAAATCACTAGGAAAATAGGTGTGCGTAATAGTAATTGCTGCTGCATAATTGCATTGTCAAAGTCAAATTTTCTGCAAAATCTGTGCGGAAATCAGCCCTTATTTCCGAAATGCGCGGATGGATTTCTCTAGGCCAAATTTTAGCGCGAGGCCCTACTATACAGTCTGGAACGAGTGTGTAATAGGCCTACTGAACTTTTTTTCATGAATAAACAATAATCAAACCTTTCATGCATTCTTTTTTTATCATAGCTTAAGGCCAAGTGATGTCACGCAGTGTTCCTTGGAGACGGACTATAACTGATGCAGTTTCTTGGCGACAAGATCAAGCTCAAAATGCTACCATATACATTTTGAGAGAGATAGGTCCTACTGGATTCCTCTTAAAAGAAGAAGGAGAAATTAAAAAGTTTAAAGTAAGAAATATTTACCTTTCTATCATAGTACAGGTAATATTGATGTACACTCAAAAATACCATTTTAAATTGCATGTTTTATTTGAAATATTTTATATTAACTTGGTAATTATACAAGTGTATTTCTAAATGCTAAATTGGGAACATTGTTCTCATTAACTTATTCAATCAGTCTCCAAATTGATGATGAAGAGTTTTTTTAATGAAGCTGAGACAAATGATAAAAGCCTTTGATTGTAAAAGTGATGCAATCATTTGGATTTACATTTTTAAAACATCATGGTATTTTAATATGAAATGCAACCAGTTGTTGAATCCAAAATCAATTGGACGTTAATTTGCCCACTTGACTTTATGTCCTTTTTCTTTGTGTGTTTGACAGGTTTTTCTAGGGGATCCAAATAAGTGTACATGTCCTGTGTTCAGCAAAGAAAGAGACTTGTGCAAGCACATATGCTGGTAAGTAATTAATAAGGACAATTGAATTGTCTTTACTGCGTTCCAATATTTACACCATCCTCATATCATGGATATCAAGGACTGTCGCACATTTTTTGTTTTATTTTGAAGTTTACAGGCTGACGGTGCTGATTCTATAACTGATTTCTAACAAATGCATTTTTCTAAATGTCAATTTGTAGGATATTATTAAAGAAGTTTAGAATTCCAAGGCAGAATCCATGTAAGTTGTCTATATTTAGTTTGATACTTTTTCTGAATATAGAAAGGGAAGGAAATCATTAACAGGTCTGGAAGAACCAGTGTTGTCCAAATGAAAACCCAGTACTGTAGTATAGATAACTTTATGTCACTATGTTGTGATTTTCAATTGAAGTCTTTAGTCTGTAAGGTGCTGTTTACTTATCGTTATTGCTGTATATTTAGACTTTTGGTTACCCATAGTACTTCATCGTGAATATATATATAGAATGTAATAATATACTGTATTGTGAATCCTTGTTTTTAGTAACTTTTCAAGTCGGTCTTGTTGAGCGTGAGATAAACGAAATACTGCGTGGACAGACACAGCATGAAGAGGTAAAGAGACACGTCACACGTAAACCTGTTGCTGGGCCTAAGAACCCCTATGCAGGGGACAAAGAACAACTTGAACAACGACCAATTACGCAAGATGACGTGTGCCCTATTTGTCAAGACGAGTTATTGGGAAAACATGAACCAGTCACATACTGCAGGTAAATGAATAGGTCATATGTTTTTCTCTGCAATACACATACAGTACTAAACGAAAATCTTGGCGGAATGTAAATGGGTTGGCTGGGAGCATGCTAGCCGGGAGTCTTATCAAACTTTTTTGTCTTAAGACCTGTTCAGACTATCAAATTTTATTTGACAAAATCATGTGACATGCCTAAATATGGTCATGATGACATCACATAATGACCGTATATAGGCACATCATGACTATATATGGGCATACAACAATTTTTTGTCAAATAAAATTTGATAGCTGGACAGGGTTTAAGTGTGTGATGCAGGACCAGTCCCAAATCCCATAATACATTATTGCACATGCTGAGAAATAACTTCAATGATTTTGCTGTAATGAATGAGTGGAATAATACACAGGTCTTTTTAATATTATGATAACAATGATGACTACAATCGCGCTGACGTTGACTACGGTGATGTCTTACAAAGCCAAGATGCCTAATAGTTTTTGGCTTATTATTATACAGTACAATTATTAGCATAAATTAATTAATTAGGCAATCTTTAATTAAAATGTTTTAAAAAAAAAATTTAGTTTTTAATTTAAATTAAATTAATACTTTAATAATTTAATTCAAATTAATTTAATACTTTAATAATTTAATAATTAAACTTTAATTTTAATCTATTTGTAAATAAATAGTAGGTGGAGGTTCACATCCTTACTGATGATTGTGGCTTTATCTTGTTTTGTATCTTCCTAGGAGCCACTATTTACATATTATGTAAACATGTGCTTTGTTTTGTAATTGTTTCCCTGAATAAATAATAAATAAATAAATTAAATATTAATCTATATTGTAGATTTGGTTGTGCGAAGAGTGTGCATATCAAATGTATGAAGGTCTGGGCAGAGCATCAAAGGTCAACTGGTGAGGAGATCATCAAATGCCCTCTATGTCGAGAACACTTCGGACCAATTGATGCCATACAGGAAGAGTATCGGAATTCTTCTATCCGGAAAACACGAGCAGAACGATTAGACCTGCATCTTGGCTCCACTTGTAAAAAATGTGGTGTAGCACCAATTGCTGGGAAGTGCTACAAGTAAGAAGTTTTTGTTTTTTTTTCGGAAATTTTATGGTGTTGCTTGGGAGCATGAAATAATACTGCAGATTGTATATATGTAGGGTATTCACTATACAGTGTTCGAATGTTTGCTGTGGGGCATTTGTGACTAAGACAAGCCAAACCAGTCACTCGTCGCAAAAATCAATTTTGAGTTATTAATACAGGGTTAAAGAGTAAAATAAGAGCTATAAAATGGTAAAAAAAATCATTCAAATCCGACATTTCCTTCTGAAGTTACAAGCATTTAAGCGTACAGCTGTTTAAAGAACAATATGAGAAATCAGCCTTCAAACTTTATGATTTCAGGCATTTCTCATGCAGAAACTATCATAAAATCATTAAAAAGTGTTGTTTTAACATTGAAATTGGGAAAAATAACAGCACGGCATGATGTATAGATACATAAACCTTAGTTTATAGTGAAATAAAATAGATTTTAAAAAATTTTACATTCTAGCATGTTTTTTCTATTTTCTCTGAAACACAATTTGCGACGAGTGACTGGTTTGGCTTGTCTTTGCCACATTTATTGTTGAGAATGGTTTTTATGGGGAATTTTTATTCGAGGGAGTCGTTTTTTTTTTTTGTGTGTGTGTAAAATTGATACATATATACTCAATACGGCAATAGCCACTTAATTTCACTGTAAATGTGGAACTACAACACATAATTAACGTCTAATATGTTATTGATTGATCATAAAATCTTATTGATCCCAATCATGTAGAGGGGGTCAAGAACAGAGGGTTCATGTCACGGTCATGTTCCTACTAATCCTTTTACTATTATACACAAAAATCATTTTCTTTGAACTAAACCAAAATAGCTCAACAGAGCACCAACTGGTGTATAGACTCAATAAGAATCAAGTTAAAAATGTAATTCTACTGACATAGAGCATTAATCCATTAGATTTCTTTACAGTCATTTGGAGGGGGGGGTGGGGGCAGCATTTATTCTAGGAAAACTAAACACCTTGGGACAATTATCCGAGGGAGGCATTTATTCCAATGAGGCTCAGAGGGAGTGTTTATTCAAAGCGGGGCATTTATTCGAATAAATACATTATTTATTTTACCAGTACTGTACTGTATTGTGTTTATTTCTCCATTCAACATACAATTGCCGGATTTTACATTATAGTTGACAGGATTGGAACTGTCTTCAGTGATCCTTCTAAATTTATTATTTACTGTATGTGAATGAATCATGTATCCACAGGTGTTGTGTTTGCATTGAGTACTATCTTTGCCATGCTTGCTTCTTGACCCCAACCCACAGAGACCATGCCTTCCAGTTTAGACAGGTGAGTGAACAGTAACTGGATTTTATGACTATTTCAGTTTAAACCAAATTCTGTATCCATATTTTGTAATACTGTAAACATACTTTTTGATTTTTCATTTTATATTGTATATCTTACCTTAGTGATGCTTACCTTAGTGATTTAACGAGGCAAAGAGTTTAAAACTCGTAGAGGCTGCCTCTTGTGTTAAGTTGAGTAATGTGACTATTATATAAATTTAACTTGAAAAGTGTGAGAGATGCACTGTTGACTGTGTGTGAAAGGAGTAAATTCCATGAATTTATCATTCGAGAATCAAAAAAAGCTGCACGTTGGGTTTAACAAGTTTTAAGTTACCACCACAGGTCTCCATCTGTCCTTCCATTTTAAAACGTGTAAATAATGTAGAACTATCAATGTCCTCAAGGTTGTTAATGATTTTAAACACTTCAATCATGTCACCCCCATTGTACACGTTTCATTTTTATGTCAAATTGGTGATAGTAATAAATAGTAGTGATAATGATGATTGTGATCATGATATGTTAGTGATGATAACGATAACATTGGTAATAGTAATGGATAATAGCATTTCATGAACTCTTCTTTGCTACCAAGAAACCCAGTCAACGATGGCGCCCAGCTCCAAGATGCTCAGACGCTGCATTGCCGCAAGCTGTCATCGGTGATATGGAAAATAGAGAGCTTACTGATAATGATTATGAGATGCTACTTCAGCTTGATAAGTAAGTTTCATGGGTTTTTAAGTGGGAGACATGCTTACAATTTTGTTTTAAGCCAGGGCACACAATGCGTTGTATGACGGTGGTATGGCCGACAAACCCAGTTCCACTCCCTATAAGCGCTAGACGATGTGACACTGCATGGTGATTATTAGTGGCAGTCTGAATGGGTCGTAATTAAAAATGATTGATTGTGCACACTTAGTGGCATTATGTCCTCCACAGAATCGCATCGGCAACGACCATCAGGCACAATGAGTGCCTGGCTTTCCTTTCTACCCAGTGATGGCTCCCGCCAGGTAATTTTCTTTCCAGTTTGCCCCCCCCCCCCCCACAGTTTTGTAGGAAAAATGAACATTGGTTAACAAAATTTATTTGCTCCGATTGGTCTTTCTGTCTTTTCAAGGCCACTACCACTTAAAAACAATGCATTTAACAAACTTTTTACATTTGTAATAAATTACTGAGTATTTAAATAAAAATAACAAGCACATTAGAAGTGTTACCTGTTAATTTTATAAATTATATAGTTGTATTTCTGGTCTGCTATGGGAAAACATATTGGTTTCCCCCCTCTCCACTAAAATTTACCTTGCCCCTCACTTGCCCTCCCGAGTTTCAGACAATGGCGCTGCCACTGTTTCTACCACTAGTCCTCTTAACTAAATTCTGTCTTTTTAATATTTTGTATACTTTTGTATACCAATAATTTGGATTGAAATACGATTTTCATTGTGCTGCAGTTTCAGTGCCTCTCTATACCAAACTTGTATCTTTGATTTTTTTTATCTGATAATTTCTAGTGAAACTGCCCACGCTCCAAGCACAGTGCCCGAGTCCTTCATCAAATCTCTGCCTTCGGAGATGGTTCGGAACGGATCTGGTCTCCTTGCCCCAGGATCACAATGCAGGGTTTGCCTACGGGCGTACATCGTTGGAGAAAGAGTGCGACGGTTACCATGTCAACATAAGGTGAGAGTCCGTCTTGATTTATAGCTGTATGATGCATGGATAATTGGCAAACTGATTGAATAATATTTATTTGTACTTCATTTTCATCCCGTTCTTTTGAAATTGCTGCTACGTTCTATTCCCCATTGTTTTGGAAACTCAGTATCTGCCCCTGATAATAAACTTGCTAATTCTACTTTCCTTCCCACAGTTCCATGCTGTATGCATTGACCCCTGGTTGCTGCACCAGCGTTCCACGTGCCCAATTGATGGGGCAACTGTGTATAATCCTCTTATGGAAGCTTTGGCAAGAGATGAGCGTAGGAAGAAAAAAATGGGACAGAAGCAGACCGATTCTGCAGAAATGGTGCTAGGCAGGATGAATAAAAAGTCAAATACTGGATTTCGGCTGGGAGAAGAGCAGGTTGCAGAGGTCCAGGGCTTGGCTTCAACGTTTGCATTGACAGGAAGCAGTATCATAAGCTCTAAAAGGTGTAGTAATATTATTTGTATATTAATTGAGGAGAAAAATTCATGTAGAAATAATCAACATTTGTGACTTAACTTCTCATACTTCAATCTTCAATTATATTTCCATAGACCAATGCCTGAATCTACTAGCTTAGCTCAACGGAGTAGAATGAAGAAAACATCACCAGCAAAATGGAGATCTAGCAATCAAAAAGGTGATGTGATGAATTCAGAATTCCTCAATCCACTTGACAATTCTTTTTTCCAAAACAATCATGAAAGATCAAATCAAGGATTTAACAGAGAAAGACACTTGGGTGCTGAACAGTATGGCAACTTGATTGGCATGGTTCAATTAGCCAATGAAGACACAGATATTGGGGAGCGGCAATTTTATGAACATAGTGCTGAATTAGACCGAATATTGCATCCATGTTCACGTAGAAGGAGTTCCTCTGAACGTAGTAGAGATTGTACACCAGAGAGGGAGATCCTGCAGACCAGAATAGAGACAATTCAATTTGATGGCAGCCATCAGAGCAGTCAGAGGTCGTCTCACTGGCAGAGGAAGCCTCCATTACCACCTGCAGGCACTGTAAAACAATCAGTAAAGCCACAACCTCCGTCTATCCCACTTCTTAGACAAGCTTCAATTACCCCAGTGGGGAACCGACAGGGAAGTGGTTCCATGTCTGCACCTCATTACAGGCAGGCACATTCGGATGAAAGCCCCAGTAACAGTGATTCAGAAAGAGGGAGGAGAAAAAATAAAGGAAAATTGATACACAGGAGAATCAGGAGTTCAAGTGCAGGGAGAAGATTTTCTACAGAGCATCTGCATCCAGAACAAATAAATCAACAACAGGTTAGTTTTCACATGTTTCCTATTAATTAAGTTCTTAATTGATGGTATTTAGAAGGCACCATCCACCCAAACACCATCTACCCATTGTTCTACCAACATCCAATCACAGCGCATCTCAGTAGAAACCTAATTTGGAACCTTTATCAGATTTGTGGACGCGGTTAGGCGCATCGGGAACGGTTTGGATTCACAATCTTGAGGTCGGGGTTTCAATCCCTCGATGTGCATTTCGCTTGTGTCTTTGAGCAAGGCACTTTATTTGCATTGCTTCTCTCCACCCAGGAGTATAAATGGGTACCTAGTGGGGTTGCCTGCTCCTGCGCCAAGATGGCAGCAACACTTATGCATGTGGACCCAATGACCAGGGAAAAACTTGTAGCACTTTGTATCTGTAAAGAAAGGCGCTACATAAATTACCAGATTCAATTGAGATTTGTAGCAAAATTAATTAATGTCAATTCGCCATGCAAACCTTCAAGATTAATTAATTGTTACACAATCTTAAATAAAACAATATATACAGTTGAACTTGCCTTTAGTATGTAAAATAAGTTCGACTTAGGAATTATTCGAGTTAGGCAAAGTTGACTTAAGCATGTTTAACTGCAGTCTGCATTCAATTTTTTTTTTTTAAAGGCCTGAATTGATATACTTTTGACACTTCCAGGTTTTTGAAAATATGTTCCTAGGGTCATCAACAGGAAAGACCCTTGTAGGGAGAAGCACTGATGTCAGAACCAGACTAACAAGACCATCAGCACACAGGCTACGAGGTGGAGAGTCTAACCTTGCAGCAGTAAACAGTGTAGACACTGGCCTGACTGATATGGACATTGCTCTAACAGGTCAAAGAGTAGGAAGCCTGCAGTTGCAAGATGATGATGAGGCAGATCGAGGAATGTAATGCACATGATAAAATAGAAAAATTAACAGTATTGTTGTGGCTGAGTCTTCTAATCATAATTCCAAATGGCAGTACAATAGACTTTATTTATGGTGATGGACGTTCTTCCGCTGCAAGACTAATGCTTCAATCAACGTGTCAATGGGACTTTTTCTTTGAATGTGGATTGTATTAGTGGGGAAATGAGCAAATTTCGGGGGAGTGGAGGTGGAGGGGAATGCAGCTGGAGGAGAATGCAGCTGGTGGGGAGCTACATACTTTTTTCCAAGCTCTCCCTTAGATACCGCACTGCTCTTCCACAATCTTTTGCTTTGATCATCCCAAAGATTTTAACTTGGTTTTATATTTAAGCAAAGCACCATTTTCTGGATGCCTTGATTGTGTGTTACCAAAGAATTTTATTTCTGTCCAAGTCTTTTCGGTTGCAATAAGTTAATTAGAAGTACAATATATACAAGTGGCAATTTCGTTCAAAGAAATACTGTAGTTGTTTTTAAATAAAACGATTTCTGATACGAAAATTCTCACAATTCATTACCCACCAATTTAAGAGTCTTTAGGAAATATATAGGGAAGGTATTACTGTATTTAATCTGTTTGAAAGCCAATAACTTCCTTAAATATATACAGTACAAAGATTGTTTAAACAAGTTTATAAATAATAAATATTACATCTAATGAAACTAATGATGGTTAAAACTATATTTTTAAATAAAACCTAGTGATAAGTTCATCTTTACTGTGCTGTTGATTTGTGTGATTGTGTTTTGTTAGTCCTTTGTTTCAGAATCAATAATAGCGATGGTTTACCACATGCTCAATATAGTAGCGGCTACTAGTCAACCTATTATCGTCAGTGGCGCATCCAGGGTGTGTGTGAGGAACACAAACCCACATAATAACTTGCACCCCCAGTGGGTGCCTCAAAAACTATCACGGTCAAGTAGTTAAAAACTCCTCAAATCACTTCATCATTTTGTAATCTGGCGCCCCCTCACCTAATCATTGAGCACCGAATTTACATTTGCGCCACCCATCAGCCCTCCCCATTTTAAGACTCCCAGATACACTATTCATTAGTGTAATTCTCTTTCAAAATATCCAATGTAAAAAAAAACCAGTTAAATTCAACTAATTTATAAATCACAGCTATGTATTTTCTTTCATCTGTTGTCTAAAGGGTACCTAACAATTTGCAAAGCAACCATTTAGTTGAGGGGGTAGGAGTGAATGGGAGATCTTTGAAATCAGTACAATAGACCTTACTGCTAAGCCCCTCCCCTTGGATATTGTTGCCAAGGTCTCGCACAGTAAAAACATATGCAAACATGTGCAGGTGCAGATCAAGCAGAGGGGCACATCCCCCGTTTTTTCCACTAAATTTTAAAATTTCGCATCAAATCAATGTTATACTGTATATCATTAATTCCACTGCCTAGTGTCATTATTACAATGCTTCTATTAATATCTTGGAATGTTCGACTGTATACAAAATATTATAATAATGACATTAACACTAATAATAATAATTAGAAATTCAAGAATTGGTATCTATGGCAATCCATTCAACATGCAAATCATTCGCAGTTAAAAACAATATATTTCAATGTTGTTTGTGGTGTCATATAATAATACAATCCAATACATACCTAAAGGGTAGTGGTTTAGCATAATTATTAAGTATAGTGCAAGATGAAAGTGTCTCCTTGGCATACTTATCCCATCACCTTCCTTTTAAGCAAATTATAAAATTCTACTTGGATCAAATTATTCATTATGGTCATAAAATTTCAAGACAGTGATGTGATAATCATAAAAAGTTTTTGCTTAAGAGTGAAATACCGTAAATTTTTGAATAAGGACTGCAACGCTTATAAAACCTTTTCGAAAGCGGCGCTTATAAAAAAATATTGGCATGGTGCTTTCCATCCCCGTTCCCATGTTACCTATCTTACATATTCCCGTAGTTCAGTAGGCCCTACGTCATAGTAAATAAACCTTTATAAAGAAATGCTGTGTCTTCATTAGTTATTTATTACACACAGGGTAATACATACTGCGCAGCGCTTATCTAAAAAAAAAACCAGGTTTTTTGTGACGCTTATTCGAGAGTGGCGCTTATTCAAGCATTTACGGTACTGTTCCTCAATTAAGTAGGCAAAGAGCTGCCTGATGGTACATCTGTAGGCAATAAAATGGTGAACACTGCTGTTCAACAGTTAAACTCTGTCTCAGAATATGTTTCAAAGCATTTGGACAAACAAATTAGTGTTTGTTTTTTAATTTGGAGTTAAAATGAAAGCCTTATTTTAATATTTTTAATACCGCCACCTAAAAGTAAGTGTAACGTTTTTGAGAACCGAATGCATTGGAGTTCTTATAATATTTCTATGTTGACTCCACGTTGACCAAATTTATAGGCATCATTAAATAATGTACGGTTTTTAATTTAAAGTAAAATTTTAATATTTCTCAGAAAAAAAAAATACAATAATCACTATAACCACAACCTTTGGGATGTTGTAATTTAATAAAATGTCTTTGTTTCTCTAACTGCAATTTAAAGTTTTTATTTCAAAAGCATTTTGAAAACTACCTTAGAATTTTATATATTTCAGTTAACTGATGGAATCCGGGAAAACATGGTATAAAAAAAAAAACCTGTACAAAAAATACCATGATTCTTTAACATGTTTGTTGCCACACCCTCTATCGGTAGTTGTTTTCAATTTGCCAAAACATGTTTACATATAATATGCAAGTACATGTTTTTCAAATTGTACTCAGTCACAAAGCATCATAAGTTGGGAATATATCGGTGGGATGATAGCATCATGGGAATAGAAAATGACATTTTTAATTGCCTGGTGTCAGAGTTGTCTTCTCTGACATTTTTTTTGCACTGAATGACATTGGTTTCTTTCATTAATTTATTTAAAAAATATGGCACATTCTTCCAGAACAGCTAACCACATAGATTTCTGCAGTCGTATCATTAGTTTTAGAGTGTTGAGAGCACCATCATATGGCCACTTTCCCCCCATTAACTGTAATGACGCACAACAAATAAAAACATATATGTATCTTCCTTGAACTAACAACTGAGATTCGGTGGTCCAACTTGGGATGTCGGCAGTTTTTGATGAGTATACTTATAAAGGGGCCATCAACAACACCATGTATGGCAGTAAACATGGTAATAACCTAGCATCCTGTCTCAATCTTGAATATTTTGGCTACATACAGTGTACATAATACTGCAGTTTGGAACAATAATTAACAACAATGAAATTAAATAATAACAGCATACACAATAATTATGTTGCTAATAATATAAGTTGAGGTCATACATGGTCATTGAGTTAGTTTTACTCTGGTTTATTCAAATTCATTAAGGCCAACTCAAATGCAGCCCGATGCAATTCATGTGAGTTAAACGCGATAAGTCATTGTAAGACTGCGTTGGGGTAGTCATATAGTTGATTTTCACAATGACCTAAGACATGTCCCCGACAATACATCACGTTGGGCTGTGTTTTATGACGCTGTCTGAGATGGCCTTAGGTTTACTAAAGCACTATAATATTCGCATAGCTCCAAATATATGCTGTTTACTGCAAAGCAGTATGGGTAGAATGTGGAATCTGTTTTTTTTTTTATCATCTATCAGTTCTATGTGATTTGCTCTTTAACACCTGATGTCTCTCTCATTCATACTTAATAGAGGGCTTGAGAATTACTGGTCCGTGGCCGAATTATTTTCTCTTTATTCTTTGATATAAGGTCGAACATTCCAAGCTGTAAAAATTAACAAAACGAAAAAGTTAGAAAGGATAAGGCAAGCATGCAGCTTTAGATATTTTCTATTCAGTATTAACCCTTTCCAGTCTGCCCCACTACCATTGCCTGAGGCTGTACCAAAGCTGAGAAATTACATCTACACTAAATGTCGGGTTTTTACTGGGCGCAGGCATATTATTTGATCTGAATACAGGAGGCCCTCTACAGAAATACTCCTACATCACTCTCAAAAAATCCTATAGAGGGCAGCCTAGCTATAAAATAATTATCATGAAATCTATACAGGGCGTAAGTACGACGTCCCTTGCTATAAAGTATGGTCAAAGAGGGCGTTGTCAAGACGCCATGACTAAAAAGGGTTAAATTAAGGCTGCCAAAATTTGTATAAATCAGCCAATAGTTTTCTAATTCATGATATATATAAGTCAGTTAGCAGTTCAAAATGTGCATGTGCGTAGTGAAGGTCAATCGACATAAACAATCATTTAACACACACAACATATGTGAGGTCTCACCACGAAATTATGCATCATTGGTGAAATCATATTGAGATATTCACCAAAATAGGTCAAATTTGTTACAAACTTTTGATTATAATGCTTTTAAATAACTTGATACTTATATTTTATCATTTTAAACTTTTTAAGTGAAATTTGTTACTAAAACAGTGTTCCCTGTGCATATTCTGTAATTCTAGTCCTATTTGTTGTTGTTAGTTTATCTTTGAGGCCGATTTTCTCAAAATATGGTTCTCATACAATATTTATTTTATTTTCTAACCATGAGACCTCACATATTGGCTGGGCCTAGCTATACCTAAGACCCAGGGTGGCCTTCGGAATTGTCTGAAAATAGTAAACTGTAATGTGATGCATAGTGTAAAGACTACTTGCATCCACTAATATACTATTTATAGTAAAGATGAAGAACTGTTATTTATAGATTCCTAAAAATTTAGATGATTACAAAAGGCCGTGCCTATTTGGAGGCCTACTGTATGTTGTGTGTCTTAAATGACTGTTTATGTTGACTGACCTTCACTATGCACATGCGCAGTTGGTTTATTGAAATACAACAACTGTTAGAATATGGATGCAACACGAAAATTTATCTAACGCTATTCAACTTACATAACTGTTCCTTAGTTCTGCACAGATAAGTCGAAGATTCACAAATTCTTTCTCATCAATCTCTTTAACACTTTGCCTGTAGTCACCCTACAATTAAATGATATTATTTATAAAAAATATTAGAGATTGTTGACTGTCAGAATATACTATTTTCATTATCTGAATTGCCCGACCGTAGTTGGATTCAGATAGTCAGAAGTAGGGCTGTACCTTTGAGCTTCTTAGAGGTTTAAATACTTGCAACTTCACTCCCTTATCCTGGCCTCCATAAAATCGCTACACTGTCACTACAGTGTTTTCCATGCAAATGCTTAGTTGCCAAAAGCAATAACATTTAGCAATATTATGGAATTAAGGCTCAAGCCTCATATCATTTCCATCCTCTACTTGGTAAGAGTACTTGCGGTTGGGTGTGAAAGAAGATTCGGACTTGATTGGCCGTTACAAAAACTTTTTTCAAGCACACATGCTCACATTACACTTCCATATGCATACAAAACGATTTTGAAGATTATGAATATGTGACAATGAAAATGAGCAAGAGAAATGCTGCACTGAGAGCAACCGCTGCTATCCCCAGGTGGAGCACAGTTGGCAGAGCTTTAGAACAGTACTCTGTACTAATACTTTGAGAGAGCAGCTTAGCTCAGTCGGCTAATCTGGTGGTAGTCACTATGTGTGCGCTGAACCGTGGAGATATCTAGGTCCCCGGTTCAATTTCCATTGCTGCCTCTCCTTGTGTTACAGGTAGAGGGCTGAAATACAAGTTACAATAGCGCACCGTCTTTCGGATGAGATGTTTAAGCCGTCGGTCCCCGTGTGAAATTTATGGCCCATGTGCACGTTAAAGAACGCAGTACACTCTTCGGAAAAGAGATGGGGATTGTGTCCAGGTGTACTGCCCAACCACCACCAGAAGCCACCAAACTGGAAAGTCTTCTAGACTTTCGTGGGCTATCCTTGGTGTTAACACCTGGGCTATCCTTGGTGTTAACACTGAATAAAACCAATAGACAAATACAAATTGTTTTTTATCACTATCAGATAAGTTAAAAAAAAAAGGTTTAACATAGCTTACCACATGAGGATATTTTGCAACTTTTGAAACCAACTTGGCTCTTGTGATGAAATAGCGGGATATCTGATCCAAATAGGCCCCTGCCTCCCCCTCCACCTGACGTACCTCTGACAATGTATCTTCCTGTAGAAAATCAGATAGAATTCTTCAATGAACTCATGTACATAAGCTATTTTGTCTTGAAAAGAAGTGCAATTTAAGATCTTAAAATGTATATTGAAATCTCTTTATCGTTTTACTTTTGAGTAAGCAAATGGTAGCACAGTAAATAGCCAGGCTTCCATTCAGTCGATTTCAGGGTAAAGTTGGTCACTGGTTTGTGTCCTTGGGCAAGGCACTTTATTCATGATGTCTCCCTCTCAACCCAGAAATACAAGCGAGTAGCTCCTAGGTACTAATTTCAATGTAGCTGATTATGTCCCATAAGTTATTACTCCAATGACCAGTGTAATGCGGTCAAGTGCACTGTCTGATTCTGATGAATAATGCCCAGCTAAAGGTAACTACAAGAAAGTAGCTAATTAAACCAAAGAATTTAGAACAGGGTCAATAAGACTCAAATCAGCCAGAAATTTAAAAGTGATTCTAAAAATATTTTATATCAAAAGAACGAATCCAAAATTTCAGTTTCAATTTCCAAATTATGACCTTTTGAAATTTAGTACCACACCCTCTTTACCATTTAGGTAATGGCTCCTTTAACTTACTGTACGGTTTTTACAAAGCTTCTGGAATAACGATCATAAAAAAAATTGCTACATAGATATTTGGGTAGCATATTTTATTGGAGTGTTATATACAAAAATCCCCCAAACCATTGTGCGAAAATAGATTTTTGCTATTTTAGAGGGCCATATCTTATTATTCTTTTAAGTAAGAAAGTTAAAATTAAACATTTAATGAATATGCTCATACTACTACATATATACAGGTTTGCAAGGTAATTAGAGCAAAAATGATGGTATGATGGGGTTCCAAAAATGGTTGCAGGACCATCAACCCTAAAAATACCCTCTACTCTGACCGACAGGTTGACCATGTAGACACTTAATATTAATTATGAAATTTATACTAGTATACAGATACACATATCATCATTGTAAGTAGAAAGTTTAAACTTTGTTTCTCAACTCCTTATTTTTCAGAAATAGACACACTCTAATGTATTCTGGATATCAGCTCAAGGTTCAAGTCACAAATACTTAAAAAAATAAATATATGGGTCATTCCGTGCCAACTCAACAAATTTTCAGAAAATCATGGCTGGGTACCGTCTCAAATTTTCTTGAAACTCGGATATAATGTGCACCAACATGTCTGACGAACAAACCCAAAATTTGACTTGCCAATTCCAAGTCGTTTAGAAGTTACGGCCATTTGAAATTTTAAGGTCATACCCCTTTTCGGGTCACAATTATGACATATTTGTAAAGTTGCATTTTCAATTAGCCATATCTTCAAATAGAATAAAGATAATTAACTGAAAATTGATATCTAGACTAACTTTTGGCTGTAGAACAGGAATATGACATGACTTTTGGTATAACGGACCCCGTTACGAAAATATTGGTTTGTATTTGTTTGAATTAAATGTGTACTAGGATATAAGGTTACATGGTTCTGAACTGTACACTGTTAATGTTATGCTCATTTTAAATATCAAAATATAGTCGCACAATGTTATAGTGCAATTCTTGCGCTTGCGCCATTTTTGGAGCAAAATATCTTACTAATTAAACAATGCATCCCTTTAACAGACTGCATAACTAAAATCAGCACAAAACGTTGTCTTAGAATGAAAGGTTTCATGGTTCTAGACAGTTCACAGATAATATTATGCTCATTTGAAATCAATAGTAACACAATTTTATTGCACAATTCTTGCACTTGGGCTATTTTTGGGGCATAATATCTTACTAATTACATAATTTATCCCTTTAACAGACTGCATAACTGAAATCAACACAAAAAGTTGTCCTAGAATGAAAGGTTTCATGGCTCTAGACAGTACACGGATAATATTATGCTCATTTGAAATCAACAGTAACACAATTTATTGCAAAATTCTTGCACTTGGGCCATTTTTGGGGGGACATATCTTACTAATTAAACAATGCATCCCTTTAACAGACTGCATAACTGAAATCAACACAAAAAGTTGTCCTAGAATGAAAGGTTTCATGGCTCTAGACAGTACACGGATAATATTATGCTCATTTGAAATCAACAGTAACACAATTTATTGCGCAATTCTTGCACTTGGGCCATTTTTGGGGGGACATATCTTACTAATGAAACACTATATCCCTTAACGAACTGCTTGCCTGAAATAAGCACATAAAGTTGTTTTAGAATTATAAGTTTCAGGGGAGTATGTTTTAAAGAACACATACTGAGGTATCTGAAAATACCAACAACTTGAATTTCAATTTTTGCTACAATTTTAGCCATTTTGCCACAACATGCCTCAAATGATAAGTGAAAAATCAGGAATTTTTTGTGGTAAGACATTTCCAACTATATATTAATAATTTGTTGCATAAGACCCATTTAATAACTGATTTGGGTATTTTAATGGGGTGTAACAATGAAAGAAAAATTACGCAACCAAATAAGTTTAGGGTCTTTACAAACCAATATTTTCGTAACAGGGTCCGGTATACCAAAAGTCATGTCATATTCCTGTTCTACAGCCAAAAGTTAGTCTAGATATCAATTTTCAGTTAATTATCTTTATTCAATTTGAAGATATGGCTAATTGAAAATGCTAAAAACTTTACAAATATGTCATAATTGAGAGCTGAAAAGGGGTATGACCCTAAAATTTCAAATGGCCATAACTTCTAAACGACTTGGAATTGGCAAGTCAAATTTTGGGTTTGTCCGTCAGACATGTTGGTGCATATTATATCCGAGTTTCAAGAAAATCTGAGACGGTACCCAGCCATCCCATTTGTTGAGTTGGCACGGAATGACCCATATAAATAAAAACAAACAAATTGGTTTGTTATTTTTTTAAATGGCTTACTTGTATAGACACTCCAAAGTTGTTTCCATCTTCTATCCTGGGAATGAGTAATTGTATCCACATTTTAATCTGGTTGCACCTCTCTATCAAGCTCATGATTTGTGGTTTCATCAGGTTGATAAGCTTCATGATATGCTCATTGCAGGGCACCATTCCATCTGGGAATGACATTACCAAGGAACCTGTATTGGACATGAACATACACAGTTAACAATTAACTGCACTCAATAGTCACACATGTATAACAGCAAAGTGTAATGATTAATACACAGGCTTGTAGCTGTAGAGAACTAAGAGTGGGTGATAGACATTTCAATAATGCATGGATGATTGGTTAATAAGAGTAGATTTTAAGGACAGGCAATGGGGTTAATAAAGGAGGGCCATGAAATTAGCTTTAGACTGGGTGAAAAACTTCAACAGAAGGCTGGCTGGGCATGCCTAACTCCACCCACCAAGAATATATACTGCAGCAACACAAGTATAACCCACCTTTTGGGGAAAAAACAAAGCTTTTCGGAATAACCATATTACTTCCAAAACATTTTGCTACAATATGGTCATCTAATAGTAATCTTCCACAATTAGTTAAATACAAATTCATCATTATTTTTAAATATTTCTAAATGGTAAACCTTACACCATTGGTAAACTGTAAAATTATTAAGGGCAAGTTAGAAACACATGCACAAGAACTGAAGACATGGTTAACTAACTTCTGCTCCTTCAAGAGTTTTTATATACAATTAGTGTAATTTATGCAAATTTAGATACTGTAATATACATTTTTCTGTTCTTACCCGAGACATCGTCATCCAATCGTTTCCTTTTGCCAAGCTGTTAAAAAGGTATAAAAATTATTTTAAATTTCTATATAAAAAGAAAAATCACATTAGATTGTATTACCAAACCATAAATTCATGACCTTGGTGCGTGATGGGCCTGTTTACTTCAGTTCTATACTAGAAGTCATTTTTGGGGTTGATTTTTATATATTTTCAACAAAATACTCACCGACTCATGACTGTTAAGGACAACTGGATCTGGAACAGGTAGATTCAGCTTCACTGTTACATTTGGCATGTTTTTTATGTCAAACAAATCAGACTAAAAAACCATGAGAAAAAAAATTTACTTAGTACCTGTCTCTTATACACATCTAGATGTGTATAAGAGACAGACATTGGTCGGTCTTATGGCATATTCAGTGACAAATGAATATTATATTACTGTATTTATTCAAGTAAACTCCCACTTTGAATAAAGGCCCTTGAATAAACGCCCTAAGGCGTTTATTTTTTCGTTGAATAAACTTCCCCTAAGTGACTGTAATGTAATGGAAGCAGCATCATTTGTCAACAAATTCTATTAATAATGTTATACTTCAGTAGAATTACATTCTAAACTGGTTGGATATTAGTATGTCATTATGATTATGCAGTAACACATTTTGACAGTATTTATGTGCTGTAGTTCAACATTTACAATGAAATTATTAGGGGAATTTATTTTAAAATATATGTATCCATTTTACACAAAAAAATTAATCACCTGTCTCGAAAAAATACCTCCCTCGAATAAACACCTCCCTCAAAAACCTTCTCATTCTCTACACAGAAACACTTTAATTTTTCAACTGTAATTTCTTACCGTTAATAAATCATTCAACTCCATGATTGTTTTGGGAAAATCATTTTTGATTATTAACTTCGCCTGAAAGACAACAAACAATTGGTTTATAGAATAGATAAGCAATAGTAAAGAAATTTCAAAGAACATACTGTAGGCCTAGGCCTATAGGCTATTCTAATTTTGTCCATGCATGGACAAAAAATGTTAGATATAATAAGCCTAGGGACCTAGGCCTAGCCTATCCCTACAGCTGCCAATAATTCGACAATAATAAATATCTTAGTATAATTTTTACTTACATTTTCTTCCAGATCTTTGCGGTACTGTTCAATCTGGAATATAAATGAAAATCATTTTTAGAATTCAAAAAATTATGAAAATAGCACAAGTCCAGAGCTACCTAAACGAATTGGTGAAATATGTAATGTATGGTCTGCCTAGGCTAGTTAGGCCTACACAATAGGTCCTCTTCTAAACCATGGCACTTAAAAATCGCTGTCTGCCGTGCCACCTGTGTGTGACCACCTGGCCTGGCCCTGGTGTAGGCCTAGCGCCAAACATATTCAAAACTATATTTTACCTTTTCTTCATATTCTGCCATATTTTAAAAACAATTTAGGAATGTTGAAAAACGCCGTCGGATATAAAGTTTAAAAAATAAACACAGATCATTCAATATTCGGAAATATAATTGAGTTCACACGACCATATAATATATATTGAAACACTCGTGTTAATTTCACCGTATAATAAATGCATGTAGCCCCTCAACGGCCACTAGGCCTATTTTGTTTATTAACCTTTTTACAGCCGCTCTAAAGACTGAAGATAAAATACAGTAACTTAAAATAATTTAAATATAATATAATTTAAATATAATAAATATTATTAAATATTACTGAAGATCATGCAGACTTAGCCTTTCTGTAAATGTTTGATAATAATTATATCAATGATAGTAGAATTTAAACTTCATCAAATCATTTAATTTCATCTATATGATTTCATATTTGTTACGACACATAGATCTATATATAGACATTAATGTTTAGGCCTAAGATGTAACAACTTAAAATCCTTGAATATTGAAAGCACTCTAATTCACCTCTAAAACTAAGAGTAGGTTCTATCGCCGCGCTCCCGCTTCCTCCACATGAAGTATTATCATGTAATTTATGTCCAATATAGGCCTAGGCCCCTAGGTTATATTGATCACATAGCGAAATTTTCTATTTTTTATTGATTTGAAGATTCGAATCATGAATGGATAAGTAATGATAATAAAAATAATAATAATAATAATAATAATAATAATAATAATAATAATAATAATAATAATAATAATAATAATAATAATAATAATAAATAATAGTGTAGTTTTATATAGCGCACATATATCCATCTAAATGTAAGATGCTCAGGGCGCTTGAATGTGGACTAGAAACTCGACAATGTGTCCAATCATCGATACAGTGGTGGCGCCAGCGTCCCACGTAGGACAGGCCTGGACCCCCACATTTATAACAAAATTGAGGGTCGGCCCATGTTTATGAACTTAATAGACTTACAATACAAAATTCTAATATAGGCCTATGATAAATATTGAAATTTAAGCTTCATCAAATCATTTAATTTCATCTATATGATTTCATATTTGTTACGACACATAGATCTATATATAGACATTAATGTTTAGGCCTAAGATGTAACAACTTAAAATCCTTGAATATTGAAAGCACTCTAATTCACCTCTAAAACTAAGAGTAGGTTCTATCGCCGCGCTCCCGCTTCCTCCACATGAAGTATTATCATGTAATTTATGTCCAATATAGGCCTAGGCCCCTAGGTTATATTGATCACATAGCGAAATTTTCTATTTTTTATTGATTTGAAGATTCGAATCATGAATGGATAAGTAATGATAATAAAAATAATGTGTCCAATCATCGATACAGCTGTCTCTTATACACATCTAGATGTGTATAAGAGACAGACAGATGCACAGAAACACTTTAATTTTTCAACTGTAATTTCTTACCGTTAATAAATCATTCAACTCCATGATTGTTTTGGGAAAATCATTTTTGATTATTAACTTCGCCTGAAAGACAACAAACAATTGGTTTATAGAATAGATAAGCAATAGTAAAGAAATTTCAAAGAACATACTGTAGGCCTAGGCCTATAGGCTATTCTAATTTTGTCCATGCATGGACAAAAAATGTTAGATATAATAAGCCTAGGGACCTAGGCCTAGCCTATCCCTACAGCTGCCAATAATTCGACAATAATAAATATCTTACTATAATTTTTACTTACATTTTCTTCCAGATCTTTGCGGTACTGTTCAATCTGGAATATAAATGAAAATCCTTTTTAGAATTCAAAAAATTATGAAAATAGCACAAGTCCAGAGCTACCTAAACAAATTGGTGAAATATGTAATGTATGGTCTGCCTAGGCTAGTTAGGCCTACACAATAGGTCCTCTTCTAAACCATGGCACTTAAAAATCGCTGTCTACCGTGCCACCTGTGTGTGACCACCTGGCCTGGCCCTGGTGTAGGCCTAGCACCAAACACATTCAAAACTATATTTTACCTTTTCTTCATATTCTGCCATATTTTAAAAAGAATTTAGGAATGTTGAAAAACGCCGTCGGATATAAAGTTTAAAAAAATAAACACAGATCATTCAATATTCGGAAATTTAATTGAGTCACACGACCATATAATATATATTGAAACACTCGTGTTAATAATAAATGCATGTAGCCCCTCAACGGCCACTATGCCTATTTTGTTTATTAACCTTTTTACAGCCGCTCTAAAGACTGAAGATAAAATACAGTAATTTAAAATAATTTAAATATAATATAATTTAAATATAATAAATATTATTAAATATTACTGAAGATCATGCAGACTTAGCCTTTCTGTAAATGTTTGATAATAATTATATCAATGATTGTAGAATTTAAACTTCATCAAATCATTTAATTTCATCTATATGATTTCATATTTTTTTGTTACGACACATAGATCTATATATAGACATTAATGTGTAGGCCTATGATGTAACAACTTAAAATCCTTGAATATTGAAAGCACTCTAATTCACCTCTAAAACTAAGAGTAGGTTCTATCGCCGCGCTCCCGCTTCCTCACATGAAGTAGTATCATGTACTTCATGTACAATATAGGCCTAGGCCCCTGGTTATATTGACATAGCGAAATTTTCTATTTTTTATTGATTTGAAGATTCGAATCATGAATGGATAAGTAATGATAATAAAAATAATGTGTCCAATCATCGATACAGTGGTGGCGCCAGCGTTCCACGTCGGACAGGCCTGGACCCCCACATTTATAACAAAATTGAGGGTCGGCCCTGTTTGAACCAGATCCCGTTTGAACCCTGTCGGACATGTCGGACCGCTTGCCTTTCTGAGCCACCGCTGGATCACTAGAATCCATATGCCTATAAAACCAATAGGCACACTCAGTTTGTTGTCCCATGCTTGGGAAAAATCATTTTATGAACTTAATAGACTTACAATACAAAACGCATACAAAATACTTTAAATGATACTGTTTCAATAAAAGGCCTGATAAAAATTCTAATCTGAGGCCTATGATAAATATTGAAAAAGTCACCGGTTGTGTATTCAAAAGGAGGAACAACGGAGAACAAGTCGAATAGGCAAAGAAAACCCAGGCCAACGGCAATTTAATTAAAACCAGAAAATGTGAAAATATCCTAATTAGGATACTCCAGAAGTATGAACCATAAAAAGGTAGGAAAATATAAAAGAATGAATGAATGAATGTATAATGAAGGTTCTCATTAGTAAATTTTCATAATGCTGCCCTCTAGTGTCTGAAATTAGGAAAAAAATATGAAAAAGATGGCGTCTTTTATCTAGTAATAATATTGTTATTATTTTTGTGTTACGATGGCTTCTACAAGCAGCCAGGATGCCTCTGAAGTTCCTAATGATGAACTTGAAGAACTGAAAATGTTGGTTTGGGGTAATGCCCTGACAGATGAAGTATTTAAGCGTTGGTGTCAAGGTAAAGTTTGGCTTTGTTTTTTCGTAAAATCCCAGGCCAGGCCCATTTGATTCGATCATTCCAGCCCAACCAAGATAGTTCGCCGCTTGCTTGTTTATGGTATCCTGCTCGTTCTTGCTTCTTACTAGCCAGCCTAGGCCTAGGCGTATGTATTGAGTACCTTTTTTATTTCAGCTGAGCATTCGGACCCTCGACAGAAAATGGTATAAACTATTATGTTTATTACATTTACAACACATTATTCAACATTATTGTTTAGTATTTAAAGTTTAAATTTTTTAATTGTTGTAGTTAAGTTGGTACAGACAGATAAATATTATTAGCCTAGAAAGTATAATGTGTTAATTAAAATAAATTATTAGTTAATTGTAAGTAAGTCATAAATGGTTGTAACATTTTTTTACTATATAATACAACTCTAACCCAGACGGTGTAGACTAAGTTTCAGTATAAGAAACAAGAATTACAATTTATTTGTACGAACAAAAATAGTAAACCATCTCTTCTTGTAATACAATGTTGGGACTAGGCTAGGCCTAGGCCAGGTAGCCTAATAATTAGGACTATTTTAATGCATTTCCTCTATCATTTTCATAATTATAAATAACTTAAATTAAAATTGCTGAATTAATTATGAACTACTTGATTATTAACAAAATCATAAAACTTTTTGTTACACCATGTGTAAAAATATGGTTTTTGAGGTAACACCACTGGTTGAATTAATAGAATGTATTTGGTATTTTTGATTTGCCACACTTTACTATATTTAAACAAAATAATTGTGCTTTGGGCTATACTTGTATTAGAATGTGTTATTTTCTAGCTACAGTTACCCATTTTAATTGTTATGTTTTTAAGAAAGTATTGAATGGATAATAAATAACGTAAAATTCCTTTGTATGCTGTTAGTCCTCGTTCCTGGTCCTTGTGCCAGTTTTGTGTAAATGAGTAATTTCACAGTAAATGGACACGGTATCGTAACATTTTCATGGAAAAATAGAGTACAAAGTATTTAGGCTAAACTCTGTGGAACAAAAGATAGGATATCAATGTTTTGGAAAAGGGGTGTGATAAGATATAATTAAATTGTCTTTCCAAAAGAAATATGCATGTTTGTATTTTAATACACTACAAATCCTATTCCCTAGTAACAGACGAACAGATTCTTGACATAAATTTGGGTCAATGACCTTCCGTTGTGGATGCACCAAAAATAAAATGCATCATTACCAATTTTTTAAAATATTTTCTTACTCTATATATTCACCAATTTGATAAACATTTAAAAATAATATATTTCTTTTTAGGAATATTGGGCCATTTTGAACTTCCTAATTTTTTTAACATACAAATGTTACACCCGTTAATAAACCATCAAATTACATATTTTTTAACAAAAAAGGGTTTTATTTTTCTTCTAGTGTTTTATCTTATTAGTTTCCAATATATTATTTTATAGAAATTATGAGCTCCATCCTTATAATACAATTTTTTAAAAATATACTACATCCAGTTTTAGATATTTTTGTCTTATCACACTTTTGTATGGTAAAATATGGTTAAAAAGTATGTCAAATTTATCATTATTCTTTTTACTGTGAATTGTATGATCATGAAATGATTTTTAATATGTATACTCATTTATATGATAATATAAATGTAAAAATATTTCATTTTAAACAATAAAATCTTTAGTTATACCTTGCTAAAAAATATTGCTTAGGGAGTGTCTATTTACTGTGAAATTGCTCATATGTGTTTTTTTTTCAATCAAAATTTCTGAACCTTTTAAAGCGATGGTAAACTGATTACTGATTTCACTATGAGTGTATAATAAAATTATTGTTTAAAATTGTTTAATTTTTATGCTATTGATATTAACATTAGATAAATATACTTTTATCAGGGTTTGTGTTTAGTCCTTATGAACCATCAGCCTTGCTGCAACATGAGGGTGGACCATGTGCTGTCTTAGCACCATTACAAGCATACGTTTTAAAGAATTTACTATCAACGGGTGATATTTGGAGAGATCTTGATGGTAATGTTAATTAAGTTAAATTATTTATTTTTATATTCTATATACACTATGTGTTCTATGTCATTATAGTGACTTCTATTTTGATCCCAATTATTTAATTAATTAATATTAATTATTTTATGCTTGACTGATTAATTGAATACCATATACTCACGTATAAGGTGCCCTGCATATAAGAAAACCCTGAGTCTTAAATTCTCTTTTGTGGGGATTTCACCCACTTTTATTTCATTTTTTTTTTGTATTGTTTTCATCTGACAAGTACATTAAAGTAAAACATAAATATGTAACACAAACAGATAAAAGGAGAGGGATCAGTCCATCCTGGCTGACTACTGTAATGCCATTAGTATATTTCAGTGCCTACATTTTTCATTTTCATTTTTAATTTATTTGTTTAATTTTTCTGCTTTTTATGGTCCTGATACTGCATCTAGCTGGCTAAAAACAGAGCCAAATACAAGGCTAATCTTTCAAATACCATTTGATGAGTTTCCCCGTATTTAAAATTGCGTTCATTTGGTAACATTTTAATAGCTTCAATGCAGTAGTAACTTTGTGTGTTACGGATGAAATCCGCACATAAAACGAACATGTTTAAAAAATCTAAAATTTGCATGTTGTGCGTATAAAGACAACCCTCCTGTTTTTTTATCGTAATTTGCTATTTTAAGCCTTGAGTATATACGGCAAATGTAATATGAATAGAACGAATAACTATACTTAGCCAAGTTGTTGCTAGTGATGGTATTAGGGCGGTTGTATATAATAATATCAAGACATACTTTAATTATAATAGTTGAAAAGATATTAAGGAGCTTACTTTTCATTAAGAACACAATGTGTATTAAGGGTTAACTCACTCTTTCATGACAATTTTGTGTTCTGTGGACAACCTAGATGTGGCCCATACCAAGTTTAATTTGAAGAACAGTGAGAACTCGAAATTTTAAAATGGCTTTGTATGTTTCTTTGATCTTACCATTAAAGGAAACCTCCCTAAGTATTAAATACCCTGATGGTACTTAAACCCTTGTAGGAGCAAGATACTAAAATTCTTGCCAAAGGTTTTAGGAAATTTAATCTGAAGTGTATTAGTTTTAACATTTAAAAACGAATGGGGAATTTTTGTTTTTATGTATAGCCAAAAATAATATATTTTTATTGATATTTATCTTTATAGATAATCAAGCTAAGGATGTGCTGTTGACAGCAATAGAAGAGGTGTTCCTTTGTGTTTCAAATCCTCCTTTCAAATTAGTCTTAGAATCAGATAAACAGCCAGTGATTGCAGACATGGTTGAGAATGAAGAAGTAGATCAATCTGATCATGCTAGATTTCACAAGACCTTAAGGTATCATTTAGATTTGCTTTTCAATGTCAGCATACTCTATCTATGAATATTGTCATTTTGTGGCAGATGGGGAGTCCCTTCCCCTCCCCCCAAAATAAAAAAAAAATTTAAGTAAAGTAAAATGGCAGAAAAAGAAAATTATATTCAAATTCAAGTCTGGGAGTTCCACTAATTGCTAAGGTTAATTGGGTTCGATGACTAAATGAGGGGTGGTAGCCAACAAAAAAATCTTACTTTATATCATCTCAGATGGTCCCTGAATTGAATTTGATCTTCAGTAAGGCCCAATAAAAAAAATTAATAGTTTATCTCCCTTGTGCGTATGTCTTCTATTGTATTGGAAAAGAAATATTGGGAATTTTTTATTTTTTAAATATTTTTAATAAATAGTTAATAAATATTGTTTGTAATAGCGCAATCATTTTTACTTTGAATATCAATGCACCAGCAAACAACTCAAGGGTGATATTAGGCTTTAGAAAAATAAAAAATAAAAATATAAAACCCTCCTTCCCTCATCACTTTTCCAGCCTAGATAAGGTGATAAAATATTAATTTTTTTTATAGGTTCTAAACTGGAATGATCACCTTATGTAAATTTTTTTTTAAAGATAAGCAATACTTGGTAAGGAAGTGGTATTCTAAATTTTGTAAATGTGCAGCATCCCGTGATGGGTTTGTGGAGGAATCACACACGTTCTGAACGTTGCAGTAACCACGTTCTTCTTGTGATTTATATTTCCAGAGTTCTTACATTGGAAACAGCAGCAGAACTTCACCAAGCTTTACATTCAGCATACGACATTTATGTAGGACAATATGGAGTCGTTCTTTTTCTCTACTCCCTTCTAATGACAAAGGTTGGTTTATGATATATTATTGAATTTACTTTTAAAAGAATGAAATATGATATTATCTAATTTATTCGATGTTCAACATGCACAAACAAGATAAAACTTAATTTGGGAACAAGAAAAGTAAATATAAATGAGCATCAGGAATATCCATTAGGCTGGCGTCCATTCCATTTCTAATGGGTCCAAAATTGCACATTAAAAAATTGAGTGTATTATTAAATTTTATATAGACTATGTTCAGACACGAGTTGCGCTAGCATAACATTAATCGTGTGGTGTGAACTTGTGCGTGGCTTAGCGAATGCCAGTATTAACGCTCAATCACTTGCGTACAATAATTCACCAACGGACCCAGATTAGTGTACGCCACTGAGTTACGGCAGTCATGCATCGACGATTTTGAACTTGACCAAAATTTGACCAATCACAATAAGCCTGAAAGTAAACAGGAAATAAAATGCACGATTAGGAATACATATATTTCACGCGAATAATTACGCTAGCGTTACGTTAATCACATCTTGTCTAGACATCTTGGTAGTTACGCCATGGATTAATGTACGCCCAGCGTTAGATATGCCTGGCATATCTCTTAGGTCTGAATGCAGCCATAAAAATATTTCAATTATTAGACAGTGCACCTTATGTTTTGTACTATATCTCTACTCTGTACAGATAGGATGAAGTTGTGACAAACATAATTATAATTGACACTTTCTAGTCATGAATGAGCATCCAGCATTCACTGTTTACATTCAGCATAGAACATTATTATCATATATGCTGAAGATGCTGGATAGACTTCCTAACATTGTGTATGTTTACAGTTACGATGGGTTATTGTGACAGGTAGCTCTCTGTACAAAGTCCTATACTGTATATACTCTGGAACTTGTAATTAAGTGAAGCACAGTGTTTGTAAACTTAATGTGAGCTTTCATCAGTGTTAACAACATGATTCGCAGTAAGTGTTTACATCCATAGTGCTTGGTTTAATTATTGATCAATCAGTTCTGCTGTCATAATAGGCAAACCAGATGAAACTATTCAAATATTTATGTATACTGTTATATTACAATAATCTTATGCCCTCTGTCACATAAAGATGCATCTATTCAACATAATGTTGTTTTTATAGGTATAGCAATAAGATAGTATGAATTTAATATTTAACTCTTACAAATATAGTTCTTTTAATTTCTTTGCAATGCTTATAAGTTATAATTGAGGAAATTACTCCTGTCTGTTTAAAAACAATTTCTTAAAATTTAAGATGATAAAGGCAAAATGAATATCACTTTGCATACTGATCCTTTTCAGGTCCACACTACTGGTATCACATTTCTATTTTGAGAATATTTACCTTATTTTTGGATTATAATTCTCACAAAAGTAAAAATACCTTGAAAAATAATGGTAGAGTCTACCTTTTATTCAATTACTGTACTATTATCACTTATGAGAATTGTCAATAATATGTTTGCTAAGGTAAGTATCTGGCTCTCAAACTAACAACACCGCTGCCATCCTTAGCTGTACATAAAAGAAAGTACTTCAAAATAATTAATCAAACGTCTAACTTAATGTGTACTTGTGTTTTTAAAGGGAATTGCAAATGTTAAGAATGAAATGGAAGATGCGAATGAACCATTAGTTGATGGAATTTACGGGCATGGCAGTCAAAGCCTCGTTAACCTGATGTTAACCGGTAATGCCGTGTCTCATGTCTTTGATAACGAGAAGGAAGTTGATGGTTTGAGTAAGTAGAAATTCTATCCTATTTTTACTTAATTGTAAAAGGAAGTGTCTTCACATGATAACAGAAATGTATACAGTAAAAATAAATCATGACATTTAATGAATGTATGGATATGAAAATGGATGTGTTGTTGTGTCATACTGTAGCCAATCAAAGGTAGAAACCAAATACAATTTCACCAAAATGATCATGCTTATGTTATTTTATATATTGCTGTTTCTTATTTATAATTTTCTATTTGCTCATCAGAAATGCGAGGTATTACTGCTCAGCCTAGTTCAGGCTTCCTCACAATGCTAGAACATTTTCGTTATTGTGAAGTTGGTTGGTATCTCAAGAACCCAACTCATCCTATATGGGTTCTGGGGAGTGAAACTCACCTAACTGTATTTTTTACCAAGGTACGTACACATTTGTATAAATATATAAATTTGGCAATAATAGCTCGATTCTAGTAAATGACTCTTCATTTTAAAGCTTATAATAAGAATATGAAGATATTTAAATGTCAATATTCATATTTTGTTTATTGATACTGGTTTTGGGATGACATGCCCAAATATTGAATTGGTTTAGATCATACCTTACAGAGAGATGGCAAAAAGTTTGGGTTGGTAAATCATTTTTCAAGTCCACTTCCTCTATCTTGCGGTGTACCACAAGGCCCTGTGCTTGGACCTGTTCTATTCAGCATTTATACACTGCCTTTGGGTGATCTCATTAGACAACATGGACTTCGTTACCATCTCTTCGCGGATGACACACAGATATACTTGTCATTCTCTCCATCTTCTAATGCCACTTCTAGGAAGATTGACCAAATAGAAAGCTGTGTCTGTGAGATTCAAGAATGGATGGTTTGCAACTGACTAAAACTTAACGCTGATATTAAGTCAGATTTTTTTTATCATCGGTACACGTCAGCAACGTCCTAAAGTCTTGGAAAACATAAGTATCGATATTTCGGGCTGCAAAATAGTTTCCAAGGATCAAGTATGCAATCTAGGAGCAATCATTGATTCAACATTATCTTATAAATCGCACATAAATGCAGTGTGTAAAACTGCCTATCATCAGCTATACAACATCAGATTAGCCAGAAAATATCTTACTGATGATGCAGCCGCTGTTGCGATTCATGCTTTTGTTTCTTGCAGATGGACTCATTAAATAGTCTGCTGTACGGTGTCCTAAATTGTTGTATTGCAAAATTACAGCGACTTCAGAACTCAGCAGCGAGGGTACTCGCCAGAACTAAGTGTAGTGAACACATCACACCTGTTCTTAAATTTCTTCATTGGCTACCAGTTCATTGCAGTATTCAATACAAAATGCTCATAATTACACATAAAGCATGAATGTAGACTGGTCAATATTACTTAAACAATCTCATTAATTCTTATAAACCAGTTCGCCCACTTAGGTCATCCAGTGATGCTACACTGCTTAGAGTTCCATTAGTCAGACTGTGAACAGCCGGGGACAGAGCGTTCTGCAAGGTTGCACCAGAGTTATGGAACAGTTTACCGCGTACACTAAAATACTGTGATTCGTACAATAGTTTTTAAACGTCATCTTAAAACCTATCTTTTTCATTTAGAGCTTAATTAAAAGCCTGTTAAATGTCTGATTATCCAAAACTTTTAAAATTTTTGGGAGTTTTTCATTATAAAGGGTATTTCTAGAATTTTCAAAATGTTTTATAATTGGATCATTTTAATATCATAATTTAAAATCTTTTAGATCGTTTTAACTATTGTAAAATGTACTGCGCCTATGAGCAATATTGTTTTGGATATATGGCGCATTATAAATGCTTTTATTATTATTATTATTAGTATATAAGCTGACTTTTATAGCACAGATATACAGGCCTCTAGTAGTAATAATACATCCTCATTAAGCACCAATAATCTTTAATTACAGGCATAAAAATAACTATGTGCAGATAAACATTTGATTCTGATGGTAATATTCTTGGTGCCCCATAGGGCCTCTTACACAGAAGCTACCTAGAAGCATTATACCTTCTTGGGCTCTACCCTAGTTTATAGTATAGCTTAGTCTCTCTTTAATTTTACTTTATTACTATCACTGTTTTCTCCACATTCTGCAGAATAAGCAGCTACATGTCTTCATTCATGCTAAAAAGTTACTAACATCTTTATTTCTACAAACCATGTTTAATAATCATTATCATTGCTCCAGAATTGGGAATTTTGAGGAGTCCCTATTTCTAGAATGTCATGTAACAAGAATTCAAGCTTGTTTTGCATTTCTTTTATGATACATGCCTTCTCCATTGGTAGGTCCTTCTCAAGTTGCTTACATATGGTGTGATGATATTTCTTGTTTGGGTGGAAAAGAGTAGTCCATATGTTCATATGAATAAATAATGTTCATATCTATGCTACTTAACGTTTGTATTACAGGAAATGTCATTAGTAGCACCAGAATCAAAGTGGGAACGCGCTAGGCGTGTGTTTTGTCAATACGATACGCAGGATAGTGGTTTCATACAGAAGATTCTACTGCAAGACGTTCTTCAGGTTCTACAACTGGTTACCATTCCTGAATAGTGAGTCAGAATTCTCTGTATTAAGGGCACATAGAAAAAAAAATATTAGATTATCACTCTTTTTTAAAAAAAATTGATGAGGAAGGGCATTTTTTTTGTTTGTTTTTGTTTTTGTTTTTGTTTTTTTTAATCGGCACAATATATTATTTCGCTTATGTTTTTACTGACGAGGGAGGGACTGTTTATATTTGGCTAGTAATAGTAAAATTGTATAAAAACTGGTTTAATTTTATAGTTTTTTTAAATAAAATGTATTTGAAGTCACAAAATTGCATTGTTATTTTTATGTAAACATTGAAATAATTGATGCGGCAAAAATATTTTTTGTTTTTATTCCTGCATCAATATTTTCCAAATTTTTTATGCGGGCTGGAGTGAAAATCTAATAAATTTTTCTGTTTGCCCTTATCCTTTTGTTTTTGAGCTCTGTCTAGACTATCAAATTTTTCTTTGACAAAAAACTGTTGTATGCCCATATATAGTCATGATGTGCCTATATATGGTCATGATGTGATGTCACTATGACCATATTTAGACATGTCACATGTGTTTTCAAATAAAATTTGATAACCCTGGACAGGGCTTTATAGTTATTGCTGTTGCGTGACTATTGTTTCCATTTTAGAAGAGCTATAGTACAATTTAATGTTAATAAATGATTAGGCTGTTAGAGTCAGTGTACATATTTTAGTATATTTGCAGAAGAGGTTTGGTGCAGTGGGAATGGTTTGGTTTCCCAACCTCGAGGTCGGGGTTTCAATCCCCTTTTGCTTGTGTCCTTGGGCAAGGCACTTTATCTACATTGCTTCTCTCCACCCAGGAGTATAAATGGGTGCCTGGTAGGGTTAAGTGCCAAAATGCGCTGATGTAGCTGCTGCAACTTTATGGAACAGTTTGCGTTCCATAGGCGTCTCATCCAACGACCGAGGGTAGTAATGTGAAGCGCTTAGAGGCCTTGTTGGCATTAAGCGCTATACTGTATAAATATAACATATTAACATATTAGTCCTAATATTTTTAGAACCTTGTTTTCCATTGGAAACAGTGCTATATAAATTATTAATATTACATTCTTTAAATTGGTCATTATTATTACCCCACTGGTCCAGTTTAAAAATTGCATATCTAACGTATATTTCCACTTAAATTTTTGAAAAACTTAAAGAATTAAAATATATCTGCATTATAAATATTTCAGTGTTTATATTTTTTATATGAATGATCTTATATGTAGAAAAGTAAACTGTGTTTAATTAAATTTCTTTAACAGTGTTGATATTATTAAGCAGAAGTTAGATCCTGATGATTATGGTATAATTCTCCTCAGTAGCTTTATGAACGAGTTCTTTCCAGATGAGGTAAATATCATTCACAAATAACTCATGTACTGGTTTTTTATTATATTGTTTAATACTATCAAACACTCAGTGAATATTTCTTTATTTATGTATTTAAAATTATGTTTAGAAAAATTTAATTAATACTGTAGTTCTTTTGTTTGATTTATTATTTGTTACTACAATAAATTCTATTGCCTTGTTTATTGATTATATGTTTATATGTACACCTTATTGATTTTTTTTTATATTGCAGCCTGATAGGTTGATCCCTGTGAATTTTCCTGTTTACCATTACAACGGCCTTATACGATCATGTCCAGAGTCTAAGGTAAAGTGTTGTATTTGTATATCACAAAAAACCTTAAATAACACCTTCTGACTATTCTAGTCTAATAATAATGCTTAACTTATGAGCTTCATATTTTCAAAAAAGTAAAATTATATAAGAAAAAATTTTTTTTTTTTTAAATTGCAAGTAGATTACAATGATTTTTAATCTGTCAAGTTAATTTATTTAACTTAATGTATTATAGCTTAAATTGTGCTTTATTTACAAAATTATGGAAAATTATGATTGAAACCAACAAATATATACATTAGGATGTTTCTTGTATAGGTGTAATTGCCCTACCTGACGTGGAAATGTACCGAATACTCAGTACATTTGAAAACAACTGCGAAAAAAATCGCAAGTTGTTTTCGGTTGGGACTCGAACCCACAATCTCCAGATCACTAGCCTGGCATCATACCTCTAGACCACCGAGCTTGCGCCTGATGGCCAGTGTTGAATTCGAGTCCAAGTAAGCAGCGGGTACTGCAGTGTTGATAGTAATTTTTATTAGTCGTGATGGAGTAATAGACAATAACTGGATTTGCGTCAAGAGAAACATCTATACATGTTTCTCCTGACGCAAATCCAGTTATTGTCTATTATTCCATCACGATAATAACAATTACTATCAAGGATGTTTCTTATTATGAACACATATAAGGAGTAATGTTAAAGAAGTATAGTTCATTTTTTTCAAAACCATATTTATATCAGGTGACCATCCCAGTGAATTCTAGTAGGTCCACTGATATGCAGGGATTCTCTTAAATAGATAAAATATTGTGATACTTGATCACCATAGTCTCATTAGAAGGCTTAGGGAGTAGTGAGAAAAAATCCTGTGCTCTGACAGAATTTCAACCCAAGACCTGGGATTGGAAAGAAAAGCATCTTAGCCACCAAGCTATATCCTCACTCCATACCATAATTATATTTAAAGCTATGAACCATTGTATTTGTATTTAGGTGAAGTATATAGAGGGCGTTGCTGAAGTGCCCGATCCTCAGGACATTCAAGGCCTTACGGATGCCTCCCCGGTAGAATCTTGTCTTCGAACCAAATGGCCTACGTTCATGGTAAATTGGGAGAACAACCTTCAACCATCCACCAATTGAAACTGAAACACCAAAAAAAAAACAGCGACATTTCTGGGACGAAAGATCCGTCATCCCATGCATCTGGTCGTTAATATAGTCAATGCAATAACAAATTCCATTGAGGAACCTCATCAAGTTGTCATTTGATGTTTTTGAGTTTTAAGTGCCTCTTGGTAATAAGCTCACTTCCAGCTTCTCGCACAAAATGGTGTCCATTACGTGGATTACGTCATGTTAAGCTTTGTCCATTCTGTTAAGTGACAAATATAAATAATTAGTTTTTTATATGGGCATGTTGATGTCATATCATACTCATATATGGGCAAATGCCATGCTGGTGTCACATAAAGTATAGGCTGAGATTTAGTTTTAATATTTTCATACACTATACTCAAGTAGGTGATGATGTGTGTTTGACAAAAGAAATTGTTTTGTTTGTTAATTGTGCCCACCTTTGTGTGTCCCCATTCTGATGTACACATTAACCGAGATGACATACTGATTGTCTCAGAAATAATTTTGAATGACTAAATTATTCTCAAACTATTGTATAACTTCTAATATATAAAAATGTTAAATTTCACTCAGAGTTTGCAAGTATGCCAAGTGTAGTAATTTGTTACTGCTATATTAATCTTTACTTTTTTAAACATAACTTGCAAAGTATATAGGCTTTTGATGAGGACACAGTTGGTTTCTTGGGGAGCATGTCTCCTGTAGCATGAAGTTTGTTCTTAGTCTTGTTAGAAAATGTCAAGCATTGAACATGTAACAATAAATGAGCATTTCCTAGATTGTGTTATTATCAATGGGAAATCTGTTTAATAAATGTCTGTTAAATTTCAATGCGGGTTCGTTTTTTAAAATGTGGGAAAGTGATATCTTAACGATATGTTGTCTGCGTTAAGCCAGTAAATTCGAAAATTAATATTCAGTATATAAACTGTTTACTTAAAATATTTAAATAAGTTATTAGCTTTCTATAATCTTTTACATAGATCCATAAATTGGCTGGTAATTAATTAAAGAATTTTTATTGTAAAATTCCTAGTTGCTCAGTAAAAACTAAATTGTTTTTATCTGTGTCTCATTGGAAGTTTAAAATATAGCTCTGTCCACACTGAAAAAAATACTGTACTGTATACCCATATATAGTCATGATGTGCCTGTGTAAGGTCATGATGTGATGTCATCATTACCATATTTAGGCATGTCACATGTTTTTGTCAAATAAAATATGATAGTCTGAATACGGCTTTATTGGACTGTTAAATGGTTAATTCATAGTTGTGGGAAGATTTAATAAATATATAACTTTATTAGTACAAGAATAGTTACGGCAGAAGCAAAATTGACAATGGAAGAAATGAATAATGTTAACTTAATCCGAATGAGTTGGCAAGATAAATTAAATATTATAAGAAGAACAAAAGATTGATATGCTAATTTTTGTTGCAAGGAGAGCATGAATTGAATTGAAACATTTGGATGGTTTTACTGGATGCCAGAATAAATGGTAGTATGGTGGAAGGTCACTTTTATTCATCGATTGCTATCTTCCAATGTAAGCTTTATTGTTATGCATATAATAATGCCAATTTGGAGCATTGTCTTGGTGTGTGTTTATAATAATGTATATATGTGAATTTGTATGTAAACGAAGGTGCTATTATTAGGTTTCATAATATACTTTAAGATAATGCTTTCGCTTTATACAGAAAATATTCATGATTAGTTCTCCAAAGTATCTTTATACCTTGTGTCTGTGTAGGTCAACAACTCAGTACATGTGTGCTTAAAATTGGTACTGTATGTCTTATAGAATTTTCTGTATGCTTAATATCAGTACTGTACCTCGGACAGTATTTCGGTTTAAGATGGGTACTGCAGTTAGCCAGAATCCATGCTTAAGGCTGGGTTCTGCATTTTAGAGAATGTATCTTTTTGCCCATTGGATAATGTCTCGCTTTTAAGGTGTATGTACGTGTAAGCATAATCTACTATTTCGAAGGTCGCTGGTTCGATTAATGAAGCAGACTTTATTTGTGCCACTTTAATGCTTTATGATTGCTACAAGTAATATACACGGTAAATATCTTATGCTTTAGGATGTGTACTGTACTGTATGTAAGAGTATACCTAACTGTATTTCCAATGTATTTGTATTTTCCAAGTGCATCTTTGACTACTAAGTACCCTGCCATTATGTAATCTACTAACATTGTTATTAGCTGAGTACAGTAGTTATTTATTAGCATTTCACAATCAGAAACCCTCCACTAGTGCCACAATATTAGAAGTGATTTTTAAAAAAAGTATATTTACAATTGATGGTGGTTTTAGCAGTAAATATTTTGCTATTGAAACTTGTAGTTGTTAAAAGAGACAATGATTTGCCACATTTTTGTGTATTTGGCAGCCTTACAGCTCAAAGACTGTTGGTACAGTATCGAATAATAACTTGGACAATACGTTTGTCTCGCATTACCATTTTAACCTATTTATGTAAATTAGAATAGTGCTCAGTGATCCATGGTGGTAATGATAGCAATAGAAATGGTAAAAATGATACCCGATTCAAAATTGCATGCACTAGTATAGCCCTCCCACTGTATGTGCTTTGCGGGGTTATTATAAATAGAGTACTAAACAGATATCTTCCAAAAATTGGTACCACAAGTTGATTTGTTTTGTACTTTTTCTGACATCTTTAAAATAAACTATACATAGTTTAGCTAATAAACTTAATAAAAATCCATATTAATATTGTTTGCATAGTAAGTTGTTAAATTTCAAATAAAAAAACATTGTGAAAATATTTTCCTTGGAAATTGACAGACTCACAAAAAGTACTGTTATTATTATACTCATTGCATAGATCCTTACATTGGTTAGTAACCAATTAAGGTTCATTGTTTATGGTAAAAGCTCTGTAAATCAGTGAAATAATCCCATTGGAAGTTTAAAAAGCTAATAATTGTTGTAATTGAATTTTTGAAGGGGTTTTTTTTTGGACAGACTGTATGCATATCACCTTGTAAAAAGCACACAAAATTTGTATTTGTTTTCACAATAATCATTGCACACAATTAGTGCAAACTATGTTACATTTCTGAGTCATTAAAGACATTGTCTCGGTAGGCACAATGTTATACCGTAGGCCTCACAAATTTGCAGATTATCGAATAATGGGGTCTGTCAGGTATAATATACACAGGTCATGACTACTGTATGAAGACTTTTTGGTTGTTTCTCATTTTGTAACGTGCCATATTAGTCAAAAGTTTTGTTAGTTCATGTGTGTAGCTTTAATTTGAAGTTTTAGTGTAGATATGATATTAATTGTGTTGTACTCTATACTCTAATAATCCAGATTTAAGTAAGATATTTTGGAATACCTACCTTGTAGCTTTGGAAAACTTGAGTTATTGCTAATTCTGGTATATATATATGTGTGATAAATTTGTTTTGTAATAGTTTATATGGTTTAATCCTGCGTGTGGTACTGGGCAAGTTCAGTCGGAAGCATAAATTTCTGCTGTCTAACATTCAAAAATTTTATTTGTGTATTTATTTATTTTCAATTATCAAAACTGATCAGTCTGTTAGTGTTTGAAACACGAAACCCGACATTGAATCTATGAAATTAGATGTAGCCTTGTCTGATGTGATTGCAATGTTTTTACTATAAGTCATCTGTTTTAATTTGTTAATATATGTAGCTTTCCTTATGAAATGTATATTGTTTGTTTTGGGTAATTCCTTGAAGTATAATCAATAATTTTTAGTGTAACAATTTTCTAAAATTTAGTGTTGTTATTAGTGTTGTGACAGATCAGTTAAGATATACTGCATAACCTAATTGTGTGTTATTTTATGACAAGCACCTTTGACCTCAGAGATATATAAAATTATGCTCCAGGGTAAGAGTCTAGAACTAAGCACAGAGGAAAACTAAAGTAATGGTGGACTGATAGTAGAAAAACAGGGAGGGGGGTGAGGAGGTTGATGATTAGGAGCTTATAAAGTTGATGCCCCATAATAGACCAGTATTAGAGGCTTCTGTTAAGATGTTACACACTTTGCCTCTGGCAGAGGATGTTTAAGAATATGAATAAAAAACCTTTTGCTATACAGTATTACAATTTATGGGTGTTGCATTACTAAGACATCATATTAAATTCAGGTTTAATTGTCTCCTCTATATCATACCAATCAATAATTTTATTCAAGTTATATTATGGTAGCCAAATACACTCACAACGAATGGCTGATAATAATAATATGGTACTAAAGTTACTGTATTATAAGTTCACATAAACAGTCATTACATTGAATGGTTTAAAGATAGCTGTCTGTGTTAGGAATTTAAAAATTAAATTCTACATTATTTTAATTGCTTTATTAAATTAATTGAAAATTAATGGTACAAAATATTGTCCTTGTCAATTAACAAAAGCCATAAAAATTGCTTTTTACAAGTTTTGCATAGTCCCCTAAATTGAATTTTTGGAGATCAATAATAAGGATATTTGTAGTAAAACTTCTGAAAAGGTCTGTCAAGATTATTATATTTGGTTGACAAAAACTGTTGTATGCCCATATATAGTCATGATGTGCCTATATATGGTCAGGGTGTGATGTCATCATGACCATATTTAGGCATGTCACATGTTTTTGTCAAATAAAATGTTATAGTCTGTACAGGGCTTAAGTCAGTGAAAAAATATTATTTTGATCTGTTTTATTAAAAGCTTGAACCTTTAAAATGAGCAATTCAATTTTCAAAAGGTTTTCACCGACAGTGTATTCATCAACAGTGGAGTACTGAATAGTGGCATTAATCATCTGTTTTTATTTTTATACATTGCGACTGGTTGCGATGTAATCGGTGGTAAACAGTTGTAACCCAAATTGTTCGCAACCATTCGCAAACTTTGACAGCATTCAGACACCTTTGATACCTGTGGAATCCGTTGTGATCGGATTCCGTGGTAACCGGGAGTAATAACGATTGTAGCACCGAATCGCAACGGGTAACAAATGCGAAATCGATTACTTATCGACTACCATTGGTGAGCTTTCAGACACGATTAGGCCTACTTTGCGATTGGGTGTCGCAATTGCTACAACCGATCGCAATGCGAAGCTAGTCTGAATGGGGTGAGCTTTCACACACGATTTTACTTTGCGATTGGGTGTCGCAATTGCTACAACCGATCGCAATGCGATGCTAGTCTGAGGGTCTGGGGTATTAAATTGACTGTTCTCTTCAGTACCTATCAAGTACGGTAAGTCCTGTAAGGTTCGCCCACTCAAAATATGGTGAGACATAAGTACAGTGTAAATAGGAATGGGAAACGAAATAGCCAGATCTAACTTTAAGGATTTACATTTATATAGGAAACAAGATTTGCTTCCATGTGCAATGTATATGGAATCAGGCGCCGCCGGTACAGAGGCCCTAAATTTTAAAATTTCAATGCATGCCAAAGATGTGTTTAAATTAGCGCTACTTATCTATTCTGAAAAAATAGGCCTAATGAAACGAAATGCGTGTTTATTGTGTTGAGTTTGAGAGTATAGTAACAATTGTGTTTTGTCAACTTTACATTTAAAAGTACTGTATTTTTCACATCTGAGAGTGCCATTTCTGGCCATCCAGAGGTCTCTATTTAAAAAAAAATTAAATATCCCAGTAGCTCCAGCTAGCAAAGCGACGTTGGCCCAACGTTGCTAAACGTTGGCAAGCGTCGGGTCGGATATCTGACGTTGGTGTTGTATTTTGCGCGCTTCGAGCGCATTTTTTAGGATTATCCTTTTAAGTTATTTAAACACATAGGCCTAATAATAATAATCCCAAACTCAAGAAAGACAAATTTAAGATCGTTTTAACCTAAAAGAAGGGCCTCAATATGTATTGATGGTGAAAGAATATGTTGTAATAAATAAAGCCATGATGAAAATGCTTATATTTAGTTAATTTCAAACACACGTGTGTGGCCTATATTATACATATGATAAGCCCTACCGTATGTCGTATTGTTTTCTATATGGGGAGTGTGGTGGGGTAGGTATGGTAAATTACTAACCGGGAAAATAACTACGGTACCGTACTCACTCTGACCCAAGACCCCTGTTACGCGCCTGGAGTTGGCGCCAATGTGTGCCCTTGTGCGGACAGGGGATGTGCCCCCCTCTGAAGCTGGAATTCTTGTTTTTGCAAAATAAATTGATGCAATTTACTATTATAGGCCTAATCAAAGCTTAGATTGGTACCAGATAAAATAATTTTGTTAGCAACATTAATAAATTATGCTAATTTTCATCTTTGTAAGCGCATAAGACAGTGCAAATTATTTCTGTGACAGTCTTTAAGTGTGTAAAACTCCATTTTATCCCATACATAGTCAAAATATTGGGGGGGGGATGATACAATGGACCATCCCCCCCCCCTTGTCAAATATTGGGGGATATATCCCCCCATCCCTCCCGGGATCTACGCCTATGTCGTCGGTAGCCGTCGTAAATATTCAGTCTGACTATGGACGTTGGTACAACGTCAGGATTTGTTACTGGCCCGACGTCGGCTAACTACTAAAAAGATGGTTGGGTACTACCGTTGGTCCAACGTTGGCTAGAGGTTGTAAATATTAGATGTGACTGTAGACGTTGTCTCAACGTCACAGTAGGCTACGTTGTTGGACCGACGTCGGTAAACGTTTGAAATGGTGGTTGGTTATAACCGTTAGCCCGACGGTGGTTAGAGGTTGTAAATATCAGGATGTGATAACAGACGTCGCAACGTCAGAGTACTTTGTTGGCCCGACGTCGGTAAACGTTAGTGAAAGTTGGTTACAACCGTTGGGCCGACGTTGGTTAGAGGTTGTAAATATTAGATGTAATTAAAGACGTTGTCGCAACGTCATAGTACTTTGTTGGCCCGACGTCGGTAAACGTTTGAAATAGACATTGGTTACCACTGTTGGGCCGACGTTGCCCAGAGGTTGTAAATATTAAATGTGATTACAGACCTTTTATCAACGTCACAGAACGCTGTTGGCCCGACGTCAGTAAACGTTTGGAATGGAGGCTGGTTACAACCGTTGGTCCCACGTTGGTTAGAGGTTGTAAATATTAGGATGTGATTATAGACGTTGTCCAACGTCACAGTACTTTGTTGGCCCGACGTCGTTAAACGTTAGTGGAGGTTGGTGACTACAGTTGGGCCGACGTTGGTTAGAAGTAGTAAATTTCAAGCGTTTACCGACGTCGGGCCAAAAAAAAAAAAAATTTGGTTCGTGTGGGAATAGAACACACAACCACCAGGTTTGCTATTCCTTATCCACCATCAAATAAACTGCTTTAAAAAAAATAAATAAATAAAAAATTGGTTTGTGTGAGAATCGAACACACAACCTCCAGTTTTGCTATTCATTATCCACCATCAACTAAACTGTCATAAAAAAAAAAAATAAAAAAAAAATTGGTTCGTGTCGGAATTGAACACACAACCACCAAGTTTCCCCGTAACATGATGTCTATTTTTTTCTAATTTGCATAATGAATTTTTCAAACATTTTTGTCTATTTAAAAAAAGTGCGTAAGTTATGGAACAATCAAAAATCGATTGTAAATTAATTCTACATTTTTAGACAAAAAAATAAACACTCTTGGCCCACGGCCCATTTTTGACACCGTGACCATGCGTAATATTAACCTGCAGTGTATATATACGAAGATTTTTTTTTTTAGTAGTATCAGAGTTGACTAACTGGTACTTGGTGTGGTACTAGGTTTATCGCATTTATGGCTTAGGGGCCGCGGTTTACCTCCCTCCGTTTAGTCATGCTAGATCAGGAGTAGTAAACTCGGCGATCGTGGGTTCGATTCCCACACGGGCAATTTTTTTTTTAATTTTTTTAATTAATTTATTTTGAAGGTCGTGGGGTTCGATTCCCACACGAGCCAGTTTTTTTTTTAATTTTTTTTTTTACGGCAGTTTAGTTGATGATGGATAATGAATAGCAAACATGGAGGTTGTGTGTTCGATTCCCACACGAACCATTTTGTTTTTCTTTAAAGCAGTTTAGTTGAGGGTTGATAATGAATGTATTGTACTCGTTGATGGCGTCGCGAAATAACAACAAACAACAACGTGCCATGTCCGATCCTAGGCTGTCATGGAAGCTCACTGGCTCCTGTGCAATTTATGTTCAGCCAACAGCAGACTAAAAGGTTACAATCTTTTCAGAGATAAGCTGGAAGAAAGTTTTAGACAGTGCCCATCAATGGAAGGATTTTAATACTGAGGAATGAAGTTAGCGAAGTCCTTGGCTTGCTTAACCGTTTTTCTTCGATCGTCGCTTCCAACCGTCTAGCCGCGTCTAGCCTAAAGGATCGAATACAGATCATTTCAGTCGCGCTTCGTTAATTCGGTCGCGCCTCACTTCGGTCGGTCTTCATTTCGGTCGCGGTTTATTTTCAACAAATATATGGAGCGCCAATGGAGTATCGAAAACGCCAAATTTAATATAACTAGGCCTAATTATCATTGTAAGTTCGTCAATCGGTTCATCATACTCTTTTTATTTGTTTTGTTGTCTTCTACTAAGTAACAACATAGGCTACTTAAAAGCAAATAAAGTGAGTACTGTTATTACTAAACTAACTTTTAAATAATATTATGGTATTTATAGGTTATTTTCTAGCTTGTTACATTCCTATTACAATGTTACTCTTTTATCGGACGGTTTTTATTTTCGTTTTGTTATCGATCTACGCTTCCTACTACATAACAAATACAACAAATAAAATGAATATTACAAATTTGGTGTTTCTCTTAGTACGGTACAGTATTTTATTATATGATATTATTTATAAAAATCAAACATTTTATCAGGAAAAACCAGCCAACTTGTTATTTAAATTACTGTAACATTAGTTTATTAACAATTATTTTTATTAGTATTAAAGTTTATTATTATTGCTGTATCACTTGGTTTTTTTTTAAATTTTTTTTTACAGAAACAACGCAGACGTTACGAAGTTGACCGAGTTTGAGATACGTTTTATTTTTATTGTTTGTTGCAATATATATATATATATATATATATATATATATATATATATTGATATAATTTTTAT